TTCTTTCGTCTGACTATCTTGGCAGGTCTTAATAAGGGCTTCCGTCTAGTTGCTCTGCATCGATAACCCAATCTGTGGAGAATTTGTTGAACAGATTTCGAGCTCATCCCACCAACTTTGGCCACTTCTGCAGTCATTAATCTGGGATCCATTTCGATGCTCCTCTTGACAGCCCCTTTTATCCTCTCCGATGGACCAGGATGACCCAGACGCTGCTCAGTTGTTTCCTTGCCGTGTTTCCTGAACTGCACGATGATTCTGTTGACTGTCGAAAGTGGGATTCCCAAATTCTGTGAAATTTGCCGCTGACTTATTCCACCATCTGCTTGACCAACTATCCTTCCTCTGACAAAATCTGACAATTCGAGAGAACCTTGAGCTCTAGGCATGTTGTAGCACAAGATAATTAGTGTGCGGACCATTTTCATTTATATAGTGCTCTGTGAGCACAAATTAGTTAGCATAAATCAGTTAAATGACGAAAAATTAGGTGTCTATTTACTTGTGACCACTCAGTGTATAACTAATTTTCAATGTTCTGCATTACCTCTTTCCATTCATTTATAGAAACTTATTAATTACATATCAAAATCATCATTATAAAACAAACAAGAGCAATCAAAGAGATTGAATACCCTCGTCTCGCTGCTCCTTTTCAAGATTTCATGTGTTTATATTGAATAACATCAAATTTCACCTTCGAAAACTCCAGCAAGGATATTGCAGTTGGGTCCGTATATGTGTGTGTGTGTGTCTGTCTGTCTGTTTCTGCATGCGTATCTCAAAAACTAATAGACCGATTTACATGAAAATTTTACACAAGATGGGAAGTCAGTTTGGGATAATTCTCCCAAATTTAGTCATGATCCATATCTGAATCCAGATTCTGGATCACTTTGAAGCATTTTTTATAATGGGAAGATAGTTTTGGGTTAATAACTCTGTAAAGTGTGATTGGATTTGTACCAAATTTCATGGGCACATTAAGGTTGAGACTCTCATCAAACTACAAATAATGATCTAGATCATTGATCATTCTGGATGTAAGAACTTCCTCCGGGGACAAGGGGGTAAAAAATAACATTCCAATATAAAGCATGCATAAGAAGAAAAAAAAACATTTAGAAAACTTTCAAATAATTACAAATAAGACAAAAAAATTTTATCATTGAAAATTACGCATTGCATGTAATATTTCCTGGTAGAAAAAAACTTTTTTAAGATCGTCCTGCGGAAAATAACAATCATTATTCTTGAAAAGACAGTTGCTTGTTTTCAAAAGCAGTACGGTTATTATGACCTACTAACAGCTGCCCATTGAAACAATTAAACAGTAAATTTCCTAAAAATAGTGATGTATAAATAAAGAATGTGCAGTCAACCCAATGCCTTGGATCATAGCGTAGATGCAATATGATTCTCAAGTGGGCTGTTTGCAAATGTACTTTGTCATTCTACTTGTTATTTCAATAAGGAAAATTGCATTGAGTTCATTTTTAGGCAAAGGAGACTGACTGCAATGCATTGTTGGCAAAAATGTTTGGGTTTTGATGCAATGGGTGCATCCAGCACAATAGAGCACTCAGGTTTGCTAAATAGGCAAGTTGCTAAGTTGGGTATTTTCCCCTGAATGTCACCATTCCTTGTCATTTTACTAAATTCAAGAAATGATTGCTACCAAAGTGAGTGCTTTTTGACAGCTGTCGTTTCTATATAAAGTATCACAGGAGAGATATTCAATTCAAATCAATCTATTCAACATGGTACAATAAAATCATGCATGTATATAATACTGACATGAAAAAATATATATATATTAATTGAACAACAAAAAATATGTACTTAAAAACTTCCTCTCTCTATGCATTTTTTCCATTCATCCTATCGTCAAAATATTTCTTTTAATTAGTCAATGGAAGAAGTCCCATTTCTTTCATGAAATTTCCTTAAAAAAAGAAACATTTTTGTTCTTAGTAAACTTTTTTCTCAGACTGACCATTCAGTAAATACAAAGACTTGATAAATTGATGTTTATATCGATATGAAATTTTAGAAATTGTGAAAAATGAATAATTTTCCTGTAATGCTTTCTTGAAAAGAAGGATTTTCATATACAATTTTGTTTTTCTACATTTAACTGTTCAGGAGATATATTGCATAACAGACAGACATTTGGCCATTATATATATATATATAGATAGATAAAATGGTTGATTACATTATATAAAAACGACTTTATACTTGAAACATCATCATAGTCCACATCTCATCATATCTAAAGTTCCCATAATCCATCTAGTATACGAGAATAATGGTTTCCCAGTGCCCATTTGAACAGTCCGATCACAGAGCACTGACATGAATGGTATATCTTTGTGTGGAAACACGGATCCTAAATCTAGTTTACTCTATCACAAAGATGGCAGGAATGTCAAAACACATACAATATAAAAGTTCTGAGAAATTTAATTTTCAGATAATCTTTGAAGGAAATACTAAAAATAAGCAAATCTTGTTTTTGATTATGATAATTTCAAGTCATTAAAGTAAGTGATGGATAAGGGAATGTCTCTATGTTATCCAAATTTGAAACTGTCCTTGATTTGTCTCAAAGGATTTTTTAAAATTCTCAGACACTTAACACAGTATTTTACCCTGGCAAATCTACACCATAATTTGATATTTTGATCAATTTGATACAAAACGTTTTAGATAAATGTAGATCTATATTACAGTTACAGTACATACACCCTGGTAGTTATGCTTTCCATAAAATATTGTACAAGGAACGAAAACAGCTCATTTAAGGTGACTCTATTGACTTTTAGATCATGTAAAGGACTGCATTAATTTATTATGGATTTAGTAACAGTAGTTGTTTCTCATCTTTTGTTTTCTCAAAACTTTAAGTGTTTTTTTTTTATTAAAACAATATTAAAATTTTTATTATACACAACAACTACTATTGCTTACATTAGGATATTCCTTTGCCATTCTTTCAACTATACCATGTAAAGGTGGAGCTTCTGGTTTGTCAAGTAATGCAACAATCTGATTAATCCAGCTAATGAACATCCAACTTGGTATTTCATTTGTCTGAAAAATCACCAAAGAAAAATGTAATGAATGACACAGACTTCAAGTTACTTATTTCTTACCAAGAATACATTCAAAATTCTAGAAATTTTAGTTAGTTTCATCAATAATATAATAATGTTCAGGCACTTTAAAAGCATATTATTGTCATTTAAAAAAACATCTAATATTTTCAAAAATAAAATTTAATTTTGCAATAATGCAATCAATTTCTAAGCTTATATATATAAAACTAAAATTAAAAAAGCCATGGCCCATTAAAACTGAAAAACATTTCCTTAGAAAGTTAAGATACATACCACAATTCATTCAGTACAGAAAACAGTACCAAACCTACTTCCAATAAAAAAAGGGTCTAATTCAGTAGAATGTAATGTGTTAAGACTCATCAACCTAGAAATGCTTTATTATTTAAAGTTTCTTTTATAAGGTTAATATTTTAACAGCTAATAATAATACTAATTATAATAATTTGAACAGATTATTTGGTTGCTGGACATCTAGAGAAGCATATTTGTTTATAAAATGAACCAAGAGTACTATTAAATCCAGGAAGGAAGTTTGTGAAACAACTGCATTAAAGTTTTTGTGCTTTCTCATTAATCTTAATTGATGGATGTTTGATAATTCAAGTATTTACACTGAATTCAAATAAATCTCCACCATTAGAGTTAGGCAATTTGTGGAATTTGCTAATTGATTAATTGTTGGGATAATTAATTGATTACATCACAGAAGACTTGAATAGTTGAAATAATTGAAAATAGTAATATCACAAACATTAATTTTGATTAATTGACTATGTTTGTGAGTCATAACACAAATCAATTAAGCTGAAAACCTTGAATCAATCAAAAATAATAATGAGAAATCATAATGGCAATATTTCGATTACTCGAATAGTTAGAATAATGGAAAAACAGTAATAATTGGAAACAATAATTTCAAATGGTTGATTATTTTCACGACATCAATTGATGAAATTATAATTCTAATTAATCGATTAGTTTACAAGATAATAATCAATCAATGCTCATATGTAATCTAGTTAATAAACTAGCTTTATTCACCAGTATAAGAAGTATTTATCAATACATTCTACCAGTTATTCTTGAACTGATTTAAACATATCTGGAAAGACAAATATAACAGGTAATGCTCATTAGCCTTCTTTACATATTAGTTTAAATCTTAGTATAAAATATATAAATCCTTACTAACTAACTAAGTTAGTTAAAATGAACTACTTGATTAAGCCTAAAAGTACTGAAACACAGATACTTTTGCTAGGCCTTATCAGGAACTGTACTTTCAATCTGCAAGTTTCAAGACTTAAAATATGAGATAAAAACTATTATAAATTGTTATACCTACAACACTATAAATCTTCAACATTTAAATTCAATCAAGTGTAGTAACTTCCATTAGATAATTTGGGAATAAGTACTGAGGAATGAAGAGACAAACACACAAAATATATAGAAGATTTCACCTTCTTGACAAAATCTTCTGAGCAACCTGGGTACAGTTCCAAAACCTGTAAGAGTCGTGGAAAGAGCTGCATAGCTGCTTTACTGCCTTGCCTCATGGCAGTTAAAAGAGAAGTTACCAAGGTGGTTGGATAGGATGGTAGAGAATTAGGTATCCAATTGTCTTCAGTAGCATCTGAAAACAAAACAAACAAGAATATGATCTATCACAACACAACTAAATGAACTGCTTTCATCAATAACACAATTCAATGTTTTTCATATACTCCTTTTGTTTTAAGTACATATATTTTGAACTTCAATATAAATTTTTTGCGACCTCACATTTACCTTCAAGTGTTTGGGTCTTACTATTAAATGGTACATAGTAAATATTTTCTATTATGCATAACCAAGCATTTTTAAGGAAGGAAAATAAACTTCAAATGACAAATAAAATCTATTTCTTGAGAAATCTATAAGATAACAAGATTGATCTTAGTAAGAAAAAAAAACCTCGTATATCAGCTTTAACGACAATTTAAGACTGTTTTATATTTCTCATGATTTCATACTAACAGATCATTACTATATTTCTGAAAATATCAATCTTGTTGCAAGATTATTAGCCTTTATTTTGGTATGATTCTAGCATTTCTTTCTTCCTAATAGCAAAAATTATTTATTGAAACTTGGATTAAAAGAAAACTAACCATGTAAAAGGAATTAAAAAATTAATACAATGGAAGTAGATTTTCAACTAAACAAAAAACAAGAATAAAAAATTTATAAAACAGAATTTCAATCATTATTAAATATCTTTCACTAATCAACAATTTTTCTTCGGTAAATAACTGAGGTTTAAAACACTTTTTTCCTTTTGCATATTTCAATAACATTTTGATGTTTTTTAAATATTTGTTTTCTTTTTATCTAGTGTATTAAACAGATGGCATCTTTACATTCAAAATTTATGTATACTAAAACATAACTCTTACAAAACAATTTTTGTTAAAATCTTATAAATTTTTAATTTCAAGCAAGTACTATTACTTTTAGTTACCTGAATCACTGGAAAAATAAACTTTAATTAAAAAATTGCAGTCTTGTAAGTATTACTGGTCAATGATATTGCTAAAGTTTTGTGTTGTCACATGCAAGACCTCCATAGCTTGAAATGTTTGGAAGTCACTGCGACACTGTATTGATATGTACAATTTTTGTTCTAGCCCTGATGAAGTCACAATGGCACATCATGCGTTGAAATAAGATAGTTTTTTCTTAATTATCTGAAGAGTAAAGGTAATTTATTTCTAACTTTATTAAAACAAGTATTCCATTACCTTCTTTCTTCCGTAAATATTTGTTACAAAAGAATGCTAAGGACATGTGTGGATCTGTCGTACAATGAACAGATGTTGAAACCATTTGTGTGTGATGTAAAGCATCTTGTAGCTCAGTAATATAATGTACACCTTTCTGCAAATACTGGTAACTAACATCCAAAAATTTGGGGATAAACTGAAAAGAAAGTGGAAAACATATTGATGAGAAAATTGAACCTTCAAAACTAGTAAATTTTTTATATATATACCAGTTTAGTATGAGTTACTACTTTCTTGAAAAAAAGTGAATATAATAATAGTGGTCTAAACATCACGAACTAATATCAAGAAACAGTCCTATGTTGATAGATAATGCTCTAATTAAATTTTTTCCCTTTACAGAGTAATATTAGTTACAATCCTAATTACTGAAGTTTAATAGACTAAGATTAGTTTTTTGTTATCTAATACATCAGATAATGATGTATCATCCATCCCCAATGAAAACTTTAATCTTTTAATAATCCTGACATTCCAATTCTGTTTCATCTTTGGAGCATTATAAGAATTAAATAAGGCAAAAATCAACCTGAGTTGTGAAAAAGCCAAAATTATCAACAATATATGGTAATTAACATAATAAATACACAAAAGATAAATAAAAAATTGGAAATCTAAAAACCTGCAAATGGGATCATAAAAAAATGCAAGCAAACAAGGCTGGAGATACTGTAGACATTATTTACTACAACTAAAAACTTCTATTTTGGCTCTATGATGTTACCTAGCTTTACATTTTGTGTAGTAACCATAATAAATACAACTAGTAGCTAACTGGTACAATTCATGATGATTTACTGTAGCTATTGACTATTTCATTGCATTAGTTCAAGATGTAAAATGTTAATAGAATGCAAATAGAAATTGTCATGGAGGTTTGTATGAGAATATAGTAAGCATTTATAGTTTCTGTGTAACTAAATCCTCTATATATAATACATAACAATGGGCAAATATATGCCTAGACTAAAGACACAACCACCACTAAGCATGTATACAATTTTACAGGTAGAAAAGCAGCCTTTTCAATTAAAACATCGCTTTAAATAAACCTTATGTTTTTTAAGGGTAACTATTCTATGAATGTATGTAATAAAATTCAATATTATGTGCAGTGATTTTTTTTTACTCCTTCACTTCATACATAATATAGGGTTTGGCTCCCTAAAGACACCGATTGTAGAGTGTACAAACCACTGAATATTTACTTGTTACAGTCATCTAATGTTCATCTATTATTGGCTGGGAATTCCTGTTTCACCCTGTACTTAAGCTTTTTAAAGGAACACCAGATGTCTGTAAGAAAGCTAACTTATAAGGGTAATGATAACATCATTTATTATCACAAGATTTTTTTAGCTTGTGTAAAATATAGAAGAAACAAATTGACTTTTAAATATCTCTACGACCTTCACAGTACCTTATTTAGTATTATACAAAAGGGTACAAAATACCAAGCTGTTTTTGTTGTAGGCTGGCAGAAGATGAATAATTACAAACAGGGAGTTTTGAGCAGATTCTCTATTCCTTGTAAGTCTAATATGTGTGCTTTTTTTGTGCACCCTTAGCAATCAATAATAAAGGTGTTGTTTGAACTGTTGTCTTTACTGCTTAAGGTTCTTTTTGCCCAGACGTGCTATTAGGATTTTGTGCAATTCATTGCAATACCTATTGTGAAACATTGCCATGGTTCATGAAAAAAGAAAATATGATGATGATGCCAAAATGACATGCTCACTTTAGAATACTGTATTATATGTAAAACACTGTACTAATAATCTTTAATATGTTGTGATGCATGTATATGAACCACATGCTGTAAAACTTGGTTTACAGATGCATCAACATTTTAATAATATTGATATTCTGGTGTTAAAACTAAACTGCTAACACTGTAATAATATTGATAATCTGGTGTTAAAACTAAACTGCTAACACTGTAATAATATTGATATTCTGGTGTTAAAACTAAACTGCTCTGTTAACATTGTAATAATATTGATATTCTGATGTTAAAACTAAACTGCTAACACTGTAATAATATTGATATTCTGATGTTAAAACTAAACTGCTCTGTTAACACTGTAATAATATTGCCTATTTTATGTCATGATGATCTGATATCAGAAATGGTAAAAAATCAAAAATACAACATAGTAGGAGAAGTTAGACAAAGTGTCACTGTGGGTTATGTATAGAGACAGAAGCTGAAAGGTGTGAAAAGAAAAAAGTTAATGGGTAAATAAATTTATTTACAAACATTCATATTAATCTCTAGTTACTAAAGAATACCCGAGATGAATCCGTAGATCCAGCTATGCTTTTCAGTCGATTCTGATCCTCGTAATCCAATTCAGAAACCACACTGACATCATCCTCTATTAAGCTTTCTGCAATCATCTCAGCATTGAAACTATGGAGATAACTATGGTGGGTTTTTGCCTCAGAGATGTTGCTTCTAGCAACTGTGTCATCCAGCTTCACTACAAGTTGAGAAACATTAACAACTTAATAGAAATCTTCCTTAAATTTTGCCCTGACTTTATTTTATACTTTATATTTTGAATACTGTACTTCGTGTCATAAACATATCATAAATTGCACTTTTGATTGCAGCTCACAGGTGTCAAAACTTTAGAACAATTTGAACAACAATAACACATGGTTACAATCAATGTCACAAAATGTTTATACTAGTTATCACATAGAACAATATTTCCTATCACATACATAATAAATAATTATAACAAAATACACAATGATAAATACAATTAGATATGAAGCTGTATACAAAAGCGATAAAACACTTTAATAGTATTAATATATATGTTTTTAAGGACACAAAACATTGACCAATCAGAAGAGTTTAGTTAGACTTTCAATTCAAGGTTAGTTATTCGTGATGATCAATCGGTAGTATTTAGTTCCATTACCTGATTTTTATTTTCATTTTATTTTCACTTATATTCCTTTCATTTTAGAAAGCGTTTTTCAGTTTCTTTTAATCCCAGGATTACGTAAAATGTAAGAACTCCCAAAATTGAATTACGAACACTACACATTTGGCAAGCACACATTTTTATGTTACTAAAAATAGATTCATGAACTTACAGATTTCTCACTTATTGCAAAACATTTATCAGTTAACCCTTTTGAGATAGGTCATGGGTGGAAAGGCCATGTCATCTCGTTTGTTGACTCGGATTCAACATTTTATTGAACTACTATTTGTTGAATTTATGTCAATAACTTTGATATCAAACTGTAGATTATAATTCATATTTTAGTACTATATATTACTCAATTTATTATTTTAAAAGCAAATATTAAAAAACAGATAAACATTTTTTTTGTGTGACATATGGTATGTTGAATGCAGCACTGGTTCAAATTAGACGTTTGTGAAGTCAAAATACTATGTCTGTAGTTTCATACAAATTCGAAATTCAAATTACCGATATCGACAAGCTAGAATATACAGTAAGAGCCTCTTATCTTTTCAATTTGCTAAGATATTGGTCATGTAATAAATCAAACACAGTAGCATCCCACCCACCTCTTTCCATTTTTGCAAATGCTTCCTTATATACTCTTACTTCTATATATGACATGAATAACCAATTGGAAGCTCAGAATGTCCCCTAGTGGCTTTCTCAGTCTTTTAATGGACTTGGTGCTATTTCTTTCTATTAAACCAATATTTCAATGAGGTAGGTTGTGTATTTAGTCTGCACGAAATTTCATATTTTTTTAGACTAAAATACATCTTAGTTACTAAGCTTGATAAATTATAGTGGAACTCTATGGTATTAATGTAGTAATTTATGATTTTTTAGTTATTCAACTGTATATATAAAACCTAAAAAAAAATATTTTGTTTCATATCCTCCATGTGCAAATTTGTTAAAGGCCTGGCAACATACGCCAAGCTGCAACCGAGTACAAAGGTCATAACTAGAAGAAATAAATGTTTGCTTTATTTACTGTTCTATGTTTTAGGAAAAAAT